ATTTAATACCCACTCTATGCTTAAAGTGAAACTTGATTGTAATAGTTCCATAATAAAGGAATCTGTAAATTATGTTTTCAAATCTTCGCGCCCAACACATTGCCGGATATTCCCCCTTTTTACTTGGTTCAGGAATATACGAAACTCCAATATGTAGTTCAACAATTTGACGCTTGCGGCGCTTAGGTAGGTATTTGCGGTATATAATTATATATACGTATTGAAAGTAATTCCGTATCATCTTGAGCCAGTGAATGTGGCAACATTTCGTATTTACAAACATTTTATGTGCTTTCCGTTTTGTAGGAATCATTCAAAACAGAAGTAAGTCGAAAGAAACAAGTATAGTATATTACATTACGTGTGTGGAAAGTGACATTATTCACACGAGTGGAAAATATTGTCGCATGAGGCACAAGCCGAGTGCGACTATCACACCAGTGTGGAAAATTACTTTTCACACAAGTGATGTACAATATTTTTCCTACGACCACAAAATAATTTCATCAAAAAATGTAGAACCAGGTTATTATAATAATAATTAAAATGTATTTAAAAAAATAATCAACAATAATTGTATTTATGCAATTTTCATATTTTTCGAAACAAAAATTAAAAAACAAAAAAAAATTCTGCAACCACCAAGTTTTGAACGCGGGCCCGCGGACCCGTCGTGTAAGCCAAAGTTCAAATTGCAACTACCCTAAAACCTGAGCTAATAGGTCTTATGTCAAATGCATTTTTAATTCGATTTTAGGTTTAAACAGAATAAAAAGCCAAAATAATGATATGTATGTAGTTATTTTAAAATTATTTTAATAATTGTTAAAAATAAATATCTAGGATCTAAGTTAATCGTCAATTTTAATAATTTAATCATAATATCGATTTTAGTATTAATATGGACATTACATAGATCAAAATAGAAATGATGTGTTTGACATTTTGTGGAAAGTAGCATATTCGTACACGGGTGGAAAGTAAATTCTTATTCATACGTGTGTGATATAGGGCACTTTCCATAGGACTATATAGTGTGATATGTGTCACTTTCCTAAGTGGTCGAAGGAAAAAATATTTTCATTAAGTTATTTTTCATAAAAAGGTCGAAATGGTCTGAAACCTAAAATGCAACTATGATATATTAAATTTTTACAGTAGTATACGAGATATGTCAAATAGGTAATTTTGCTGAAGAGTAAAATATCTTTATTTTTGACAAACCTCGTATACGACTGATAAAATTTGATATCTGATGGTAGTATTTTAGGTTTGAGACCATCCTCGTCTTACTATATGCAGAAACCTTTTTTATTTCCAATTTTATGAAAAAAGTTATTTTTCATAAAAAGTCGAGCATGGTCTAAAACGTAAAATGCAACCATCAAATATCAAATTTGATCAGTCGTATACGTGATTTATCAAAAATAAAGGTACTTTATTTTACAGCTAAATTCATATTATTTGATATATCTCGTATACTATTGTAAAAATATATCTGATAGTTGCAGAACTTTTTGTGAAGAAAAACTTTTTTCATAAAGTTAATAATAAAAAAGTTTCCCATATGCTGCGAACTTAAGTGGACACACTGTATATGCTTGAACTTTTGTAAATACCCGACTGTTAATTTCGACGTATTTGTGTTTGGGGACTTACCGCCGCTGACTTGACATGTAAGAACTAAAAGCTGCGTATCTTACCTATTTCAAAAATAATATTGTTTTATTTCCAAATATTGTCCATATCTTAAAGTGGTCCAAAGTAGATTAAGAAGAAATGAGAGGACCAGAGATCTTATTGGTTAATTTGGGTTGGATTCCTTGTTAAAAAAATCTCATTAATAGATTTTTTTATATTTAGACAACTAATCATGCAGGCTGTTCAAAAATAAGGTTTAAAATAAGATTGAGAAAACTACAAAAAAAATTTTTTTATGGAAATTCACATTTTTCTCATTTTATAGTATTTAGTATCGAAAATAAAGTATGAAAAATAAGGTTGTCTACAAGATGGTCCGTTAACAATGGGACACAGAACATCTATAAATTCCTTGCATAAAAATCTTGCGATATATAAATTTACCTTTGTTCAATTCTGGATATTGAAGATATTATAAGGTGTTAAAGTAGATACTTAATAAAATGAAGTGTCAAATATTTCAATCAAAAATACTGATGTAAATGTATCTATTTTAACACTATGTATATTCTTTAATATCAAAAATTGAACTAAGGTAAATTGTGTTATATCGCAATACTTTTATAAAGTAGCTCTGAATCTCATTATTAACGGACCACCCTGTAGACAACTTTATACAATGTTACCTTTATTTTAGATGCTAAATACTACAAAATAAGAAAAATGGGTTGTTCCATTTGAAAAATCGATTTTTGGCAGTTTTCTTAATCTCATTTTAAACCTTAAACCCAAGGAATCCAATCCGAAGTAGATATAAGGACTTCTTTATAGGACTAACTGATAATTATATGAGGGCTTACCAACGTCATTTTTGACATAAAAACTAAAATATGTAAAATCGCTCTGACTTAGGCATATGATATGATACATAAAACCTGCCCAGAATCTGAAGTAAAATTCAAATTTGTAATAATAGGATGCCGTATTTAAAATAAGCGACTTAAGATCTATTTCCGGTCAATAGGAATAGCTAAATGAGCCCCAAGACATCTTGCAAGTTCCCAGATTTTAATTTTTTTCTTACATCCAGTTCATGAGATATAAGTTTTCGTAAGTTTTTAAATTGTCAGCCATATGTGGTATGATTCCAAATAAAATTTTGATTATCAGAATGAACGGCAACAAACAACTTGATATTATTTATAAAAATCATCACTGAGGAGATAAAACTCTTATTTTTGGTACATTTGTGAAAGACATAAGTTTCAACTTTTTTTTATAAAAATTTACCCCTATCATTTTGACCAAATTTTGGAATTCAAACTGTTTTATTTAAAAAGTTTTAACCTGATATTTTGGGAATGCCACCCCCACTCTCCCTCTATGGGATGGTGGGGGGTAAGATTTTTATAGGAAAGCGTTGTAAATCTGGTTTATTGTAAAATGTCAAAAATTAATTTTTTATCTCACCTGTTAATTTTTTTTAATTGCAAAGGTAAGGAAAAATCGTATTTTATTTAAAAAGTTTTTTTTATCGGATTTCCTATTTATGAGAAAATACATCCATATATCTAGTTTGCTCTTAATATCTCGACCCAAACTGCCCTAGTCACAAGAGTGATTTTAATGTGTTTACATAATCCAACTTAAATTATTTTAAATTTCAATTCAGAGTTTAGAATTATATAAACAGTTAAATTCTATGATTATTCTCGTATCACTAAATCGTAGATTTCATACTTAATTTACATTTGGCAACTGAGCGAAGGTTCAGAATTGTACGATTAGTGTGAACAAAACTGTATAAAATGGTTCAAGATTGTATCAATCTTCTAATGGTTCAGGATTGCACTGATCCAGTAAAATCTTTAGAAAAATTAAATTTTTTTAATGAAATATTCAGAGTATACATTTCATATTACAGATAAAGAGACCCTCTGTTTTCAATATACATTAAATATACTTATCCAACTTTATTATTTTTGGGTGGTTCAGGTTTGATAGAATCTCCAATTGGCTTGGGATTGATAGAAAGATGTAAATATATATATATATATATATATATATATATATATATATATATATATATATATATATATATATATATACATAATTAATTTATTTTCATTTTTTTACGCACAAACCAAAGAAGTAGAGAGGGTAGAACGATAAAGTACCGTCTGCGCATCCATCACGAGTGTGGAAATTATGCGTGATTCAACCTTCCACACTTACACACGTAAATGACAAGGAGAAGTTGCCCCAAAGCACTGTAAACAAATTCCTGACTTTATTCAGCGATTATGTTCATGGTCAGATCTGTTTTTTGTTTGTGTTTTGGCTGTTGTAAGCTTTTTTGGAGTCAATTCTTTGTTACCTTGCTTATATTTGTGATTTTTTGTGCTTTTATTTCGATTTAGTATTAAATTATACTTGTTAATTATTTTTTGATGCACTATTTTGTAATTGTTGCACAAAATGTTGTTAAACCGTCCCTGAATCTTGTTTACAAAATGTGCAAAACGAAATTGCGCATAGTGTCTAGACTTCTTCATTGACAGTTATCATTCTACCCCTCTCCACTTCATTGGCACAAACGATTTTATTTCCAAAATGGTTAGCATCGTATTTTGGAAGTCACGCATATCCCAAACCATAATTCTTAATATTTTTGAAAATTATGAGAATTCACAAGTTTAGGACCTATCTCGAAAACTAGTCGTAGGAGAACTTTGTGCCCATAGACAAAAAAAAAAGGTCAAAAACTGTAAAATACATAAAATTCAGGATATTCGACCGAAAACAATTTGTCATAAGGAAACTGCGGATTCCTTTCACACCCAATACTCAGAAAAGCCCATTTTTGCGTTGGAATAATATTCTTGAAAATAATTGATGCCTTATTTATCAAACAAACCTTGAAAGACAAATACATACAAATTTTTATAATTTTCTCAAAAACTTAGATGCGATAAAATATAGAAAGTGTGCCTTAAAAATCTAGTTTATATTCTAAAAAAAACTTAAAACTTGGTAACAATGCAAGTAATAAAATAAGTTGCGGCGCATCATAAAACTACTAAATACTAAACTTTGTTGATTTCATGTAGCCAATTTTCGAGGTAATTGGAAGTTTCACACTGTTTGAATATGATAGATATAGATAGATATATTTATTTTTCATTTTCGACACGTGTTGTGTCTACAATCGTCAAAAGTAAAGTGTAAAATATAAAATAAAACATTGAGGTATAAATCAGTATATACTTAAAATGCATGTCACCCAAAAATACACTAAACACTATCAAGCTCTGTCAAAGTTTATCTGGCTCATACATTTTGATAAACTTCTAACTTACCCGTATTTGTGGGAGGGTTATTTCCAGATTCTTCATTTTTCCTTTCTTCGATTATTTTTTTCCTATGCTCTTTATCATCTTTTGAAAAACTCTTCACTACCTATAACATAAGATTACATAAACACATAATGTTTTTAACAAGAGAAGCTACTCTAATACTTGCACAATGAGCACACTGAAACATTGTTAATTGAAAACTGCATAAAATCAATTTTGAATTTTCTTATAGGTTTCCTTATTTTTAGGTTTACAGAAAAAACAGGTTAAATGTTAACTATATCTATATTTTTATCTAGTAAGGATCTGCCTCTGATTAGCAACCAATAAACGCCCTATAGACATGGCAGGTACATGCTCATCTATACAGATAGCAGACAAGCACTAGTCACCCTGAACAGACCACGAATTTATTCAGGGTTACTACTAGAATTTCACGAAGTTTTGACCGAATTATCCATCAACAACATGGTTACCTTAAGATGGATCAAAGGTCACGCCACATTGCTGATTCACTGGTCAAGAAAGCAGCCAACAAAATACTTTTTGGACCTGGCCCTTCTATTGGTCTGACAAAATCGGTAGTGACAGACTTAATTAAAGAACATTCCCTTGTGAAATTCAAGGAAAGATAAGATGAGACAGAATCTACGCCTAGTCACAGGCATTCTGACTGGTCACTGCCAAGTACAGAAGCCTTCATATTATGGGGCTGTCAGAATCCGCACTCTGCAGAGGGTGCGAACAAGAAGATATGACCATCGAGCATATCCTCTACTATTGCTCGACACTCTCATTTATTAGATTTGTGTTCGTCGAGTATCGGCTAACACCGGCCGATATAAGAGAAGCACCTCTTGGCGACTTTGTCAACTACATTAAATCTGTAAACTGACTCACGAGCTAGGAGGTGCTTATCGTCTTAGGAGGATGTACAAAGTGCCGTGGGAGGTAACCACTGAAACATTGTTAATTGAAAACTGCAAAAAAATCAATTTTGTTTTTTTTATAGATTTCCTCATTTTTAGATTAACAGAAAAAAACAGGTTAAATGTCAGCTATATCTATATTTATATATAGTAAGGATCTGTCTCTGATTAGCAACCAATAAACGCCCTATAGGCATGGCAGGTAGGCTGCCATATTTGGTGTGGCGGGTAAGCTGCTATATTTGGCGTGACTTTTAGTCAATTAAAACATATGAACAACAAATGTACTCGTATAAGGTATTAAATTTCAGCAGCTACTTACTTTTTCTATCACATTATCTAAAACCAATGTAGGGTTCAGTGAGGTTATTTTAGCTCGACAAATAGGACACACTGATTGCTTGGCTTTCCACTTCTCAATGCAGAATTTACAGAAAGTGTGAGAACAGTTTAACGTTGTGGCTTTAACAAACATTTCGGAACAAATAGCACACAGTAGTTCTTCATCGACTTGTGAATCAGTCTAAAAAAATATAAAAATTAGGTTATTATTCAGTCAACAATAGGTGAGTTCGGTTAGTCAGGAGTTTGAGCGGGACAGGCCCAGATTTTTTTTTTTAGTGTTTTTAACTGTCTCTTAAGCGGCTGAACTGTCATAATCTGAATAAACGATCGCAAAAAGGGTCAAATGCAGTTAAGAGAGCTTGGCCAAATAACCGCAGCTAATAGAGAATATAAAATTTAACTACTACATGGCAATGTTAAATTTGTCTACTCGACAAGATGTCAGAAACCGTTATAAACAAATTTATTATGTTTAAATCATATATAATTATCAAATTCGAGTGATGCTAAATTGGTGGTTTCCACCTTATCAGAATTAATGTCCGGAATACAAATAAAAACCTTCAAAAGAAAAAAAGTATCTTGCTTCTAAAACTTTTTATACATTGTCATAGGAGTTTTGTCAAAAAAACTAAATAGAAATATGCATGTATCGAAATTACATATTCAGGAAATATATTCCTTGTTGGTCCTCATGTTAATATTTCATCATGTTTCATCGAATTCAATGAAGGAATCATTATATCCCAGATATATAATTTATTTTGACAGGTGGAATATTCATAGTATTTAAATTTACAAAAATAATTGTATCCTACATACATTCGATAATTAGGAAAAGTTAGAACTATGTCAAGAATCATAAAATTAGTTTATTATTACATACATTTTTAGAAGGCTTCTTGTATTGTTTTTAATGCTATGCTGTTGAACGAATGGATGTTGTAGGTTTAGTTGTTGAATAGGTTAATGTTAATGTTGGCGTATTTTGATATCTTCCATATATGGATACAATTCATAATATAGCATCTTCACCAAGGAGCACAGGAGCACTGAGAAGTACACCGACATCCTCTATGGAAATCATTCTAAACCTCCCACCCCTTGACCTAACCATAAAGGGGGAGGCCAGAATGAGTGCATACAGACTGGAAATCTCCAACAACTGGAACCCACAGGGACACATAAAACATACCAGAATAACACATGAAGTAAATGATTCTATATTAAACATGGGATCAGATCACATAACACTCCTCCTAACCTTCAACAGACTCTTCCAGGTCAACTGCAACTGGAACGAGGTAAATAAGAAGATAGGTAAATACTTGCTTAGCGGCCTCGTATGGTATACGGATGGATCTAAAACCAGGCTGAAATACATGCAATTGAATTGTGTGTATGAGAGAATTTAAGAAGGAAGTACAAAAACAAACCATCCTAATCCTCTCAGATAACCAAGCAGCCTTAAAGGCTCTTGATTCAAACAGAATCAAGTCAAAACTTGTCTGGAACTGCCTTGGAATACTAAATGATCTGGCAACCCACAACAAGGTAAAACTAGCGTGGGTACCAGGGCACAAAGGTATCCAAGAAACTGAAAAGGCTAATGAACTCGCTAAAGAGGGATCAGATCTACCATTCACAGGACCCGAACCTGTATTTGGGATAAGCTAAAACCTCTGCTCGACAGGCAGTGAACAGGTGGATAACCACAAAACACCAAATTCACTGACAACAGATAAGAGGGTACAGAATCAGTAATCTCATGCTACGGGGACCAAACCCACGCATGGCTACTGAGCCACTACAACTCGCAAGCCCTCAGATATCCACCATTGTGGGATTACTAACGGGCACTGCTTGCTGAAACACCTTCATGTGATGGGACTACACAATGATCCCACTACGTGTAGGCTCTGCATGGAAGAGAAAGAAACCTCATACCATGTGATCTTCGAATGTGAAGCTCTTACTAGGCGACGTTTCACCCTTTTCGGCCTAGAACCAGAAAGAACGCCCCAGGAACACTTGGTAGGGAATTTATTAAAACTAACCAAAGACACAGGACTATTCCAAAGATAGTACATAAATACGGGGAAAGCAGGGGAATACAATAGATCCAAGAGGCTGCAGTGTTCTGGGTCAAACCTAACCCTACCTGCTTATAACCGATAAAGATCTTCACCAAGCGATCTAATTTGTATCTGTATTCCTATTGTCTTATAATCCAAGATAATGTCATAAACCATTACCATAAATAAGCTTTATTGATTTCAGGTGTTTTATCATCATCTCCAATATACTACATACAGTTGCATATTCAATATCTGGAAAATCAGATCAACAAAGAAAGCTGTACATTGGTTGGTTTCTTTGGTTGAATATTTATCTTTGTTTTATTTTTAAAAGGATATTTAAAGGTTGTATATTTCATTTTACAAGCTTGATGTCTCAGCTGTCCCTGGGAATCACAATAAATGCCTAGAAATATTTGAATGTAAGTTATAATAGTATAAAGTCACCTAGATGTTTATCAGCTCAGATAAGTCTGGAGTATTCTTGAATTTTTTCTTTGTTAAACTCTGCACTTAATTACTAAACCTTCATTCGCAATCTTTAAGTTTTGGGCCCCGAATGAGTTGTCAGTTTCAAGATAAGATTCATTAATCTACTCCATTATCTAGTGTAGTAGTTCTGTTATAGGCTTAAATATATCATTTTCTATTTGCTCACGTTGATATATTTCGGTTATGACATTTGGTTTGCAATCAAATGTATGTTAAGCTTCATCCCTGACGAATTTTCCCTTCAACTAGACTCCAGCTCTGACGCTGTTCCCATAATTTTCTATAGTTAGTCATCAAATTTGACTAATTTGCATTATTTAAGGGTTGAAGCAATATTCAAACTTTCTGGTTAGAATTCCCTGCGAACGCTTTAACTATTTACAATAACATATGCGTATGTGTTTTAATGTATTCTTATTTTATAACTTTAAACTTACAAACACCTGTTTATTAAACCTATTACGTATTTTTCAATTTCTGTCACGTTTTTCTCATTATCTGTAACATATTTGTAAACAATAATTGTCCTGTATCTACTCCCGTCAATTCGTTTTGCTTCCTCTTCTTTGTTGTTTCTAACATGTATGGTGCTCTGCTAATGTTCTCAAATACACTGAACAGAAACATTTTTACCTTTATTAAATAAATCATGTCAAATATCAGGCACACACAAATTAATTTAATATGGTAATTAATCGAAATAGAGACTATTTTAGAAAATGTTATTTTCCAATGTATTCACAATTTTACGTTTATAAAATATATAGTTATTTCATTATTAGATTCAACTGACTCAGCAAATAAATATCAGTTTCTTCAACTTCTATATACAAAGTCATTTCTTTTGATTAAACTCTTAGATTCTAGTCCAGGATCCGTAAGTAAGGTCGATCTTCACCCATCTGTTTACTGGATAAAAGTTTTTTTTTTTTAATTAATAAAATATGTTTTTAAATATATCGCAAATGGGTTGCCTAAGAAAATACGGTCACGGCCATTTTTTACTTTCCTTTCTGTGTACAGATAAGGAAAGTATAGGAATCATGATAAAAGTTGCTTATGATGTCGTTCTCCATTATTTTGTCCCTATACATGATTTCCCTAAAATAGACCTAATTCGAGATATTTGAGGAAAAGTGCAAATTTCGAATTTTGAAGATAACTCAAAAACGGATGAAGAGAAAAACACCAAATTTTAAACTTAAGCTTTAATCCATCCTGCAGTGAGCAGATTAAAGTTTGGGCCTAGTCGAAGCATCTGGGGAATACTTTACAGGGTGTCGTTTTTTTTACTTTAAGAAAATAGTCTGGACCGTATTTTCTTAGGCAACCCATTTGCGGTATATTTATAAACATATTTTATTTAATAAAGAGAAACTTTCATCCATTAAACAGATGGGTGAAGGTGGACCTTACTTCAGATCCTAGACTATTAGACTCTAGATACGCATAGAATAATTTTATGAGTCGGTCTATACGAGGGCTGTCTTTTAAGTTTTGCATATAGACCTAGAATAAAACAGCAGATAGTGTTTAAACATTTTATTGTTTTTCAAAGTATTCTCCACGAAGATTAATGCACTTTTGCATGCGCTCGAACCAGCTCTAAAAGCAGTTATTCCACTCCTGGGGTGTCACAGCTCCAATGGCTGTTTTAAATGCCTCAACTGCATCTTCTGGTTGACTGGAACCGTTGCCCACGCAGTGCGTTCTTGATTTTAGGAAAGGTAAAAAAATCGTTGGGACTTAGGTCGGGACTGTAAGGAGGGTGGTCTAACAACTCGACGTTTTGCGAGCTGTGTGCGCACTTGCATTGTCTTGATGGAGGATGATTTGTCGTTTGGGGTTGGTTTCCCGAGGCTTAGGGATGACTGCTGGCAAACAAATCGTTATATACCAATAGGCAGTAACAGTTATTTGCTCTTGCAGAGGAATTGTTGCAACATGACCAGCTTTGGAGACAAATGTTACAACCATCTTTTTAGACACACTTCGAGAACAGATCACTTTTGTCGGCTTGTCTTCGACTTGGAAAACCCAAACAGACGATTGGCGTTTATTTTTAGGTTCATATCAGTGAATCCAGGATTCATCGCCACTTGCGATGCAGTACACGTTTTTAGAGTTTCCAGCGTTGAAGCGTTCCAGAGTTTTTTGACACCAATTTACCCTATCTTCTTTTTGTTCTTCGGTCAACAGATGCAGTATCCAACGGGATACTAATTTTTTTACTCCCAATTCTTCATGCAAAATCTTTTTGATTGAGGTCGTTGAAATCCCTAACGATGCTTCAATCTCGCGATATGTCACATGCCGATCTTCCTCGATGAGCCTGCGTACAGCATCAATGGTTTCCTGGATGACTACCGATTTAGGTGCACCTGTTCTTGGCTCGTCACTAAGATTAACCCATCCTCGGGTAAATTCTCCATACCAACGAGAAATTGTCGATTGATGAGGTGCATCACTACAAAAAACAGAAACCAACTCGGCGAGGCATTCTTGTTGAGATAATTGTCTTCGAAAATTGTAAAAAATTATGGCACGTAAATGTTTAAATGTTCTCGGTTTAAATCCATTTCTTGAATAACTTGTCAACTTTGAAAAT